GTTAGACTAATTACTGATGTTATTAATGTATTTATTCAAGTGATATTTACTGAGCTTCTACTATGTGTTGGCCACTGTTTCAGATACTGAAGATGGAGCAGTGGGCAAAGCAGAGAGGGTTCCCACTTTATGAAGCTTAAATTCTAAAGGCAAACAGTTAACAAAGAAGTACACAAAGGATTGTGAAGTACAAGTACTGGAAATGTCTTAAGGAAGAAGTGTGCAGGGTAAAAAGAATAGAAATTGTGTAGTGGGAGGCTATTTTAGATTAGTTGTTCATAGAAGCCCTCTCTGAAGAGGTGAGGTTTGAGCAGAGACTGAATGAAGTGAAGGAGCAAACTGTAAGGAGGTCTGAGGCGAAGCATTCCAGATGGAGAGAATCACATTGAGCATGTCCTTAGGTGGGTGCATGATTGATGTGGTTCAAGGAATAGCACAAAGGTCAGTGTGGCTGGGCTGCAACCAATGCAGGGCAGCATGGCCTATGGGAAGTCATAAGGTCTTACAAAATGCTGTGGTTCTTACATACCTGTATCATCATGATGATGTTGACTGGTGCTTCTTGTGAATTTTCTGTGTGTCAGGCATCTTGTTGAGTGCATTGTCTCATTTGTTTCTCATAACAATCCCTGAGATAAAGACTGTATGTGTAAATTGAGGTCTGAAGAAATCTGTTGACTTGCCCAAGACCACATACCTCGCAAATGATGGAGCTAAAACTTCTTCCCAAGAACCTGAATTTCAGAGTTCATGTTCTTAACTATGCAATTTCTACAGCATCTCACTAAAAATCAACAGAGTGACCTTTAAGAGAAAGACTCAGAAATGTGACCAGGAAAATGTGTTTTGGAGACAACCACAAAATGTTCTGAAGTGCTTATCTTTCAGAGTATGGTTTACTTTGTGTTGTATCTCTAGGAAGACAAAATCAAAAAGCTTCATAGGGTAGATAGAATGAAAAACCTACTGATCGCTGAATAAACGAAAAGGCACAATTAGACTCACTGACAGGGATTTTTCCTTTGTAGGAGTGCAGGTTTAACCCTTTGAAAATGCTGATCAAATCACCAATGTGGAAGTTATATTAAATAGTTCCATTTTTTTCAAGCTAACAAAATATTAATTCATTAAAATTGCACAGATGTGCACAGGCTGTTTTTATTAGAATTTGGGATGGGCTTCAAAACTAGACAATCTTTCAGTTATGATTTTAATACAGCTCAGGAAAACTACGGAAATTTGAGCTCTAAGCTGGTAATTGATCCTGTAAACTTGTCTAGATTCAGCTGTTTACAGTTAGGTATCAAATTATTTATGTCTGAGAATAGACAAATCTGATAAAGATGTGAAATCTTTCCAGATTATTATTCTGGATATTAATATGGATGTGAACTTTAATAGTTCTTATGATAAAGCTGTTGGGTTATTGTTTGTAAAGATTATCTGAGAGTAATATGCTCTGATTTGGGAATGTGTGTTAAGAATTACAGCAGGAAAAATTGGTAGCTTCACCATGTAGTATGATGCTTAATTTGAACAACATAATTTCTTACATATGTTTAAAAATTTCAAATTAGCGTGAAGGAAATATGCATTTCACAACTTTAGTCATTTTTTTCCATTGGTTTACTTACATGCCGTAAACCATATCATTTGCATTCTGCGGACAATAGGAATAAGACTGACCATTGATATTTCCTGTTAAATCAAAGTAAATGTAGTAAACGTGGTTTCAGGTACGGCAAAATTCAGAGGCTAATATGGTGTCAGGGGCTCAGTGTATGTCTTCACCTACCTTTCTTCTGTTGGTGTGTCGGTGACATTCTTAAGCTGGCTTTCTCCATGTGGAGGCAAAGATGGCTCCTAGGAGGGCATAGTCTGTGTGACTCTTACAGCAGTGCCCATTGGGGATTAAAAAAAATAGAATATTTCTTTTTTTTGGACAGAGTCGCCCTCTGTCACTCAGGCTGGAGTGCAGTGGCCAGATCTCAGCTCACTGCAAGCTCCATGTCCCAGATTCACGCCATTCTCCTGCTTCAGCCTCCCGAGTAGCTGGGACTACAGGCACCCGCCACCGTGCCCGGCTAATTTTTTGTATTTTTAGTAGAGACAGGGTTTCACCACTTTAGCCAGGATGGTCTCGATCTCCTGACCTCGTAATCCACCCACCTCAGCCTCCCAAAGAGCTGGGATTACAGGCGTGAGCCACCACGACCAGCCAAAAACAATAGAATATTTCTTATTAAAGGCATCCAGCAAAAGCCCTAAGGATGACTCAGATGATTGTGAATACTCTGACCAGATTTGGATCATGAGGATTGAGGAGTCCTTCTTGCACCTCTGTACTAAGACTGGGGTAGGAATGATTTGCCAAAGGAAAATCAGGCAGAGTTGAAGAAGCTAGAGGCACTGGAAAGCCAAAAACAAACATATGTTATTTTAGA